GGGGGGGGGGGGGGGGGGGGGGGGTCCTGGGGGGGGGGGGGGCATTCAGGAATGACCGGAGGAGTAGGATGGGGCAGCGGGGGGCGGTCAGGGGTGGGGATTCCAGAGGTGGTCAGGGAACGGGGGTGGGGTTGGATGGGGCAGGGGCCAGGCCACGCCTGGCTGTTTGGGGAGGCACAGCCTCCGCTAACTGGCCCTCCACACAATTTCTGAAACCCGATGCAGCCCTCAGGCCAAAACGTTTGCCCGCCCCGATCTAATATAATGGAGGAAATCAGCTGTTTGTTTTAAACTTGCTAAAGTCTCACTTTTACTCAATATAACCTTTATAAAATACCTTCAGAAGTACTATGTACTTCGATTAAAGAGCATGGACTATCAATATCACCAGAAAGGTATTTGTAAAACCCACTTTGAAAATAGAAGCTTTCGAAGTAACAAATCCTCCAGGTCTTGTGGCATTACCTATGAAAACCAGGGGAAAACCAAATCAGAAATAGAGGTTTCCCACTGACTTTGGTCTCTGGCAACACTATCCACTGATTCAAGACACAAAGGTTCAGCAGTGCGCAACTGAAGTCATTCTTCTCTTTCAAACCCTGCTATTTAACTGCCATCAACATATCATGGGAATGGCTAATGAGAATATGGTTTTTAATTAGATAATATTGTGTGCAGTTTGCACTTCCATACAGAAACATAGGGTCTTTCTATCTCGGAACTATAAAAACTGTCATTCTTACCTCAAAGACTGTCTTTGCTGCATATCCTTGCACATCATCTCTGTTAATCACAATCTGAATAACTCTGTACCACACCTCTTCACTGACGTAGTCCCCGGCAATACGAATCAAATTCAAGATTGTATCCACATACCAGGTATAATCCACTGCATACTTCTCAGCTAGAATTGCAACCTTCAGCACCTGAGCAAAACAAAAAACTGAAGTAAATCTAAAGAAATGTACAATGAATGGGTATCCTTAGCTAAAAGGCATGATGCAAGCCAAGAAGTTACTGTGAAGCGCTGTTCACTGAAATAAGTGTTAAGTCAAGGAGGAATGTAGAAAACACAGTATCTAATGACAGGGTTCCAAAAATCCTTGCTCAAATAAAACCCTTATTGATGTTAGTGTCCGTTTTGCCTGAATATACACTTGGGCCCTTAGTAAAGGCAGGCCAAACAATGTAGAAAAATAAGTTAATAAGATTTGAACCATTTAAGACCTGTGTATCTGAAAGTCAGAGTGCATTTGTTATACGCACAGCAGCCTGGAGACAGCTTGATATACCCCAATCTAGATGAGGTATCTATAACAGCATTTCTTGAGAGAAGAGTAAACAAGTTAAAGCAGACTATGGTATCCTTGAGCTGTATAATTAATAAATTAATCCAGGTTGCTGACAGAATAGGACAGTACAAGAAGTGAGATCTTTGATCAATTTAAACCAGCCAATTAAGGACTCTTGATCAGAGAACTCAATTTGTTGCAGTTGTACAGAGGAAAAAATATTCCCAGATTACCAGCATATAAAACACGCTCATACCCTGGGTAAAGCCTTAAAGGGTTATAGCTGTTAAGTGGGTTCTGGGGGCCAATATTTAATACTACATCAAGTACCAAAGAATAGACATTTCAATTACTAATCTTCACTCAAATCTTCCCAGCATGGTTAGGGTGCCAAGAAAATATACCTGAGCACTTCTCCTCCACTTTAACTCTCACCTCATATAAAGTATTGATTTCCAAGAAGTACTCGGGATTGAAAGACACTTCTAGGTTTTGCAACAATTAGAGTATTACATACAGACATACTATACAAATTAGCCCTTTGATTTAATCACACTAAGTTTTTAAACAAACTAGAGTTCTGCTGTACATTGTACAATTTAACACTAATTTAACAAATACAACTCTTGAGGCCACTGAAAGAAATTGACAGTACAGTACGTAGTTCTGCACCATCCAGAATTTGAGAATAAAGTTTCATTTTTAATATCACTCCTCCTCCCAAGGACACCACACATAATTCTAACAATAAAAAGCTAAATTATTAGACTACAACCACCTTCCAGATCACATTTTTTAAATTTTTGCTACCTTGAAAATATCTTTAATAGAGAGCGATTGCACAACATCCAACAGCATGTTGTGTTTTCCAACACAGGCTAATTGAGATTGGCAAAGGGGGCACAAATAACTCACAATTTCTTCTCTAATGGAATAATCAGCAGTCTCCAAGTAATTTAGCATTTCGGCGACAATCTGCTGGGCATTGCTTCGGTCACACATGGCATACAGGAGGTCTACTGCTCTTTGTCTTACACTCACATCCCTTTCAGTCTGTAAGAGAAGCCATAATGTTCACTCAAAGCAAAAGTTCTATGGAAAATCATGTGACAGGCAAGAGAATCCAAAATTACTTCAGTTCCCATTTGCAATTTCTGTAATTTGCTGAAGAGCTTCCATATTGAACACTGAATTACTGTTAAAGATTGACTGTAACAATTGCCACAGTTATCTGTGTTATTCCTACGCAGAGGTACTATGCAGAGGTACTATGCAAGTTCATTCTGCAACCAAGAACATAGGAGTACACTGTATTTCCAGTAATACAAGCTGCTTGCTTCATTCTGACCTCCATGATGCATCCAGGGAAGGGATTAGCTGAGGCCTATTTATTTATTTTGAGCAAGAGTTATTGTGTAAAAGTTATTTCACAGTTAGTGCACTTTGTTTTTCTACTGTATATTTTAAATTTTGTAGAAGTGCCTGGAGAACAGGAAAGGCACTTAGTATAAAATGACATATCAAACTAGTACCCTACCAAGTAATGCAGAGATAGTACCGGCCCATTTAACCCTTTTGGCCTATTACCTTTTTGTACAGAACGAAGCATTTGCCACCTTATGGGACATTAATAAGCATTACTAAGATTGTCAAGTTGTCAGAACAAGAGGGAAATTAACTAGCTATCTGGAGGTTTTAAATCAGACATATTCAGCATTAATGGAAGTTGCAGTTAAATGCATTAAGGGTACTAGCTGTGACAAACTAGGGCATAAAGCCCACCTTATGAATCTAGGAGAAAATTAATATACTTCAGAGGTGCTACTGGACAAAAAACACTGAAGAAATCAAGATATCTGATAAAAAACAATTCTGTACTGTGTTTTGAATCTGTTGCCCTTGTGTTCAATTCATTAGCGGGTTTTTAATCAGTGGATGTCTGAATTGCAATTGTGCCTCAAACCCCACTACTCTAGGCACAACTGCTGTTCAAACATCCGTCCACTGATAAAAACCTACAAGAATGTACAGTACAGACTACTGTTTCCTTCCTTTTCAAGTCTTGTCTCCTGACATCTGAATGTTATCATCATGTGGCTTAAGTAAGAAAACTCATGACACGACCACTCTGAGAAGTAAGAACACTGATGAGCTTAACACAAGAGCAACAGATTCAAAACTGATGCAGAACATATGCCAGAATTTTTAAACGCTTGATATTTACCTTCAATGCATTGATAACTGTTTCTATATGAGTTTTCACGGCTTCATGGGAAAATTCAGAGCTGGCAAGCGTGCACATGCTTTCCAGTGCTAGATAACGCAGATTAGTTTCCCGGTGCTGCAAGAACTGACCTAGTTGGTTACAGGCACGGACTAGCAGGTTTGGCTCGCTGCACAGAACAGGAGAGAAAGTGAAAGGGAAAAAGCAACAAATTAGAAAAATATTATAAGAACACTAGGTAATTACTCCACAAGAGTAGTGCACATCAGAATTGGCTTTAGTATAAAGGAATAAGAATTAAACTGAAACTACTTAAGTGTCCCTACAGAGATAGGTGTGCACTATGTACTGCACGAGATAATTAAGCTTTTAGATAGTGTAAACATTCATAGCCTCTCTCTAGATTATAGAAGTGGGTTAAGACTAGAAACAGGGCCCAGATCCACCAATTCAGGGGCTATTTCTCAAACATCAAAACAATCAATTATCTGGTGCAACATTCAGTAGCCACAAGTATTGTTCCAATCGAAGTATGTCCAGCTGCCCCCAACTGAGGCATGTAATTCCCTGCATTATGCAGATGAATGCAGGGCTCACACAGATACATTCCTCCTCCCATTCACTACCAGATGATTAAAAACAGTTTTCCTCCTTCATGGATACATCCTGTGCAGTTTCCACATTAAAAAATATCAAACCTGTATTTTATTGTGATGGTGAGTAAATATGGAACACAGGATCCCAGGAGGCTACACAGGGCTGCTCAGGCCACCATCAAAGCATAACCCTGATAGATACATCTTGGTATTAAAGCAGAAACAATGTAGTTGTATTGCCAAATAAAGAAGTTTATCCAAGATACAGCCCAGCCCCGATTGTCTGAAGCCTTGTTGGCCCCCAAGCAGTTATTCAGTTTTTAAATTAAGTACAAATTGAGTACCTGAAATTGACGGAAGAAATTAAATATATATAGCATATACAGTGAAGACTCCATATAGATATTCTTGCAATTAAGTGTTATTAGAATGGATTTTCATCTATACTAGGACTCAGAAATAGTAGACCTGCTGCAGTTGCTTGGAATTTTAGCATTTTTGCAGCAGCAAAGACAGCTAAAAAGGTGAATATAAGACTTTGCTTCCACTATGGATAATACAGACTCAGCTTGTACAAACTGAATAGCGTTTTTCAGCAGAGTTATGGTTATACATTGTTCAAATGTGAATAAAAAGCAGAAGCAAAAGCTAAAATGATGGCCCATTTTGAAGTCAAAACTGTTCTCAAGCAAGTGAGCATCCCGTGGTCTAGGGCTTTGGCTTCCTAGACCACGGGATGCTC